GGGGACCACCGCAGCTCCCTGGCGGGGGGCTCAGCAGCGCAGCAAGAACACCCACAGCTGCTGGCTCACGCCAAGGCACCCAAATTGTTTAACACAGAGTACCCCTCACACCCAGAGGGAAGCCCATCCCCGGAGGACCCCCTTTTCTAGAGGATGCTGCTGTTATGAACACCCTGCTCCTGAGATCGCCCCAGGGACAGCCCCTTGGGCACCATTTCTTTATGGGGAATATGGCACCTCTGCTTGTTCCCAGCAAAGGAGCCAGGAGGAAAGCCTCCTGCTGGAGCTGGGACCTCTGAGGCACTGCTGGCACCCAGCCACCCTGGCCGAGCACCCACCCCGGCACAGAGAGCCGGGTCTCCCTGCCGGGTGGTGATCTTGAGCCAGGGCGAGCGCGTGGGCTGCCCTGGCAGGTCCCCAGGGGCATCCCCCCGGGGCGGGAACAGTGGGAAGCGTCCGGCAGCCAGCGCAGCAGAGGAAGGGCTGTGCTCTCCGGCAGCCGTGTCCGGCCCCGCTGCAGTATTTACGAGACTCCCTTCCTTCCCCGCTTCCCCTGGCTCCCGTCAAGGCTGGGAGCAGGAAGCACATGGGCCTCGGACCCCTGACCTTGACTCCTCCTTGTCGTCTTCTCCCCCTGGGCAGCAGGTTTGCCCACGTGGGATTTCTCCTTAACCCCTTCCCTGTCGCCGCAGCAGGGAGGTGCGGCAGCACCGCACAGATGGGCTTTTCCACCCGGCTTATCTCCAGACAGCTCTGCACCAAGTCCCTGCCCGCTGGACAAAGCTTGAGGCGGGGAGGATTTTTGACTCCTGGCAAAAAGCAGGCTGGCCAGCCGGGCTGAGCCACAATCCGTCCCCTCTCTCACACAGGTCCTGCTGGTTTTGGAGCTGCTGGCAGGGCCGGGGCTGCAGGGAGAGGCTCAGCATCCTCCTCCCAGGGATGCCCTCCCTGCAGAGGGCACCAGCGCGGGCTCCAGTAGGGCACATCTCCCTTGCCACCCCTTCTGGGTGGCACTGCCAGGACCACCTGGGCAGCAAGGGGGACGTGTGGGCAGCAGGCTACAGCATATGCAGGCAGCTGCCTACGAATAAAGCACGGTGCCCTCAGGTAACCCTGCGCTGCAGGCCGGGGAGGAGAGCTGTCGGGAAGGGAGAGGAAGGCGGGCGACAGGCAGCGTGTGGCTGCCCTTCCCCTGCTACGGGAGCCAGGCAGTGCTGTCTGCTGGCCACAGCCTGCCTCTGGGCAGCGCCGGGTGCCCACAGAGGAAGATGGGGGGAAGCCCCGTCCTCTGGCTGGTGCTCATTCAAACCCCGCCACGTCTCCTAACCCCATCGAGGCCATGGTGAGAACTGGGAGGAGGCAGTTTGGGGGGGCGCTGCCAGGGACCCATCAGTGCCCACTCGTAACTCAGTCCAAACAGCCACCACCAGTGCCACCACGGTGACCAGGTGACAAGGACTACAGGTGACACCATGGTCCTGGGTCCAGCCCTGGCTGCAGGACTTGTCTCCAAGCACTGATGCTCCAGGGCTTGCTGAGCTGCAGCAGCGAGGTCCACCCCCCCCAGGCTCAGCCCACTGATGCGGCCGGGATTGGGCACCACGGTGTGGCACAGCTCCCGGCTCTCCCTGCCTTCCGCCCACGCGCTGCGCTGAGACAGCTCCCCTGGGACTTGACAGCAGCAAACACGGGGCATACGGGAGACAGCAGAACATGGATGTTAATGTTGCAGTCCCCTTGCTCCAGACGTGGGCTGAAGCGAGCCCTGCCTGCGGCAGCTCCGTGCCGTGGGGATGCTCTGCCAGCCCCCAAACACAGCACCCACGGGATGCTCCGCAGTGACCCAGGGCAGAAAGCCACCAGCAAGGAAAGACTGGGAGGGGACAAAGCCCCATGAGAGGGGAACGGTGTGAAGAGAGGGTATGGCAAGGAACAACCTGCGGTCAAAACTAAGGCCAAACCCACCCAAAAAGAGCCTCTCCATTGCTCTCCCTGAGCGTTAGCTTAGGTTCATCAGTGCAAGGGGGTGAGCATAAGAAGCCTTTCCAGCGCTTGTAGAGGCAGCGAGTAACACCAGCATTGGGAAAGCCGGGCAACCGGTCCCCGGGCTGGCACTTGGACAGAGACCTTGGTGCAGCCGGACACAAAACAACATTTGGGCACCGCCTCAGAGCAAACCCAGCTCCGAAACTTCCCTGCTGCCCCAGACAGCACCTGCCGGGGTGGCGGCGCCCGCCCAGGTCACAAACAGGCCAAGGGAGTTTCCGAAACCAGCGGTGACCTGCAATCCCGGGTGGAGCTGCGGAACTACCCTGTTCCTCCTCTGAAACCTCTGCAAACGCCCGTGGCTCCATGCAGCACTGCGTGCTGGCCCCAAAACCCATCCCATCACCCCCCCCCCTCTGCGCACCACCCAGGACCACGGGGCCAGCTCCGTGCCGTGGGGATGCTCTGCCAGCCCCCAAACACAGCACCCACGGGATGCTCCGCAGTGACCCAGGGCAGAAAGCCACCAGCAAGGAAAGACTGGGAGGGGACAAAGCCCCATGAGAGGGGAACGGTGTGAAGAGAGGGTATGGCAAGGAACAACCTGCGGTCAAAACTAAGGCCAAACCCACCCAAAAAGAGCCTCTCCATTGCTCTCCCTGAGCGTTAGCTTAGGTTCATCAGTGCAAGGGGGTGAGCATAAGAAGCCTTTCCAGCGCTTGTAGAGGCAGCGAGTAACACCAGCATTGGGAAAGCCGGGCAACCGGTCCCCGGGCTGGCACTTGGACAGAGACCTTGGTGCAGCCGGACACAAAACAACATTTGGGCACCGCCTCAGAGCAAACCCAGCTCCGAAACTTCCCTGCTGCCCCAGACAGCACCTGCCGGGGTGGCGGCGCCCGCCCAGGTCACAAACAGGCCAAGGGAGTTTCCGAAACCAGCGATGACCTGCAATCCCGGGTGGAGCTGCAGAACTACCCTGTTCCTCCTCTGAAACCTCTGCAAACGCCCGTGGCTCCATGCAGCACTGCGTGCTGGCCCCAAAACCCATCCCATCACCCCCCCCCTCTGAGCACCATCCAGGAGCACGTGGTCCCCCCCTTCACAGCCATCACATAACACAACAGCAGTCAACTTACGGCTGGGCCCGTGGATCTTGATGGGTTTGGTGCTGATGAGAGAGTGGGAGCAGTTTTGGCAAACACAGTCCTTCCCGCTGAAGGTGACCTTGTCTCCGATGGGGAATGGCTTCCTGTGGTCAAGGAGAGGTGGAGAGGCGTGAGCTGCTTGCTCCCCTCCACGCAGTGCTTGGGGCTGCCCTTGAGCTCCTTCCCCAGGGGACAGGAGGACCTGCGGTGGTGGGGAGCAGAGGGGCTCCAGGCAAGGGCTACCAGGGGAGGCAGGGAATGTGCACGTGGCAGGAGGACCAAGGCAGGCATTAAGTCAGATCTCCAGGCTGCAAAGGGAAGGGTCGGAGCCATTGCATTGCCTCCCATGGGTTTCCACTAAGGAAACGCAGAGGAGTTGCCTGCTGCGGTGCTGAGCAGGCAACGAGGGGCTGCGGGCTAAGAGAACACCCTCTCTGGTGCACGGCCAAGACCTGCCCAGGGCTTCTGCAGGGGGTTCATGCACCCACGATGATGGCTTCAGCTCACCTGCAGGTGCTGCAGACAAAGCACTTGGGGTGGTAGGTCCTCCCCAGGGCAGAGATGACCTCTCCGGTGATGAAGTCCCCGCAGCTGTCGCAGCGGGTCCCGTAAAGCTGCTGGTAGTCGTGGGTGCAGATGTACTCCTGGTTCTTAAAGAAGAAGCCCGACTGGGCCAGGTCACAGCCACACACTGCAGGGGGAGGACACGCACCCATCAAAGGGGCAGCGGGCAGGTCCAGCCCCGGGGCCAGCTGGAATCCCCCAGCCCACCTTGGCTGCCTCTCCAGCAGTGGTCCCAGAGCATCCCTGAAGACACAGCTTTTTGCAGGTATCTCAGAGGGTTTCCCATCCCACCAGATGCGCTGGGGCCTTCCCCCAGCACCACAAGATGTCAGTGTTGGGCTGTGGCGGGGTGCAGGATGGGGCTGCCCAAGCAGCCAGGGCTGGACGCTCCCAGAGGAAACCCCAGTGCTGGGAAGAGTACCCCTGCAGCCCCCACTCACCATGCACAAACAGCCCAGGAGGGTCTGTGGCATCCCCTTCTGGACCCACGGCACCTGGATGGGGCTCAGCCCCTTCATTTGACACTCACATGGTGTTGGGAAGCCAAGAACAAGAGTGCAAAGAGTTGGGCATGCCCTAGGGACAACTCAGGAAAGGTTTTCTCCATGCCCTGGGTCATGGCCTTCTCCATGATGAGCCATCTCCACTCCCTGGCCTGGACATGAAGCCATACACTAACGGGAACAGGTCCTGGGACACCCTGTGTTTGGTGTTCTCACTACTTGTTTTTCCATAGATGTCCTGCCCAACATCGCTTCCTTCCCTGCTGTGGGAACCGTGGGTGGTGCACAGCCCATCAGAGTAATCCAAGACGACGTAGCAAGCCCTGGCCCTTGGTGTCATTTCCCTCCTACATCTTCTCCATCCACAGAGAGACCTCGACAGCATCAGACCCTGAAACGCACCTCAGGAGCAGCACAGGGACCGGGTCCTGGGGCTACTGCACGATGCCCATCACCTGCCCCGCAAGGGGAACTACGGAGCAACTGAGCACCCGCTCTTGGTCTCTGCTTTACCCTTTGCCCCCAGGCACTCCTCTGTCCTGTCCTTGCACACCTCACCCGCGCCTATGGGCCAGCCTGCACAGTGGCCACCCTCCCCAGGGCACTGCTGGACCCGCTGGCTGCAGGGCCCATGGGGCAGAGATGCAGCTCCTCTCCTGCAGAGCATCCCCTGGCAAAGCTCTTCCCAGAGCTGTGGGCAGCCAGCGGTGGGCACAGGGCAGCACCCCCTGCTCTCCGAAACAGCCTGCCAGCCTTTCCTCATCAGTGACCAGGGACAAAGCCACCAGCTCTAGGACAGTATCAGGAAGCAGAACCAAGAAAAAAACCAAAGCAGGTCTGGGTCCCGTTTGGTGTGGGACCCGGAGCACATCCCCAGTCGTGCCAGGCTCCTGGGGACACGCTGGGGACAAGCTGCTGGGCTGGCGTGGGAGCCGGCAGCAGCCAGCCTGAGGTAGCAGGAGGTAAGAGCTGTGAGGGAAGGTGAGACAGGAGGATTTCCTCTCATTATTTATTCCCTTTCACTTGGAAATCAGGCAGCGAGCACTGCCAAGCTCTCCCTGCCGCTCCTGGCCCCTTTGAAGCCGGTGGCTGTCTGAGCTCTTTGTCTGGATGCGCAGCTCCGGCTGGGCTGGATCCTGCACACTAAGCCATGAAGGAGCTCTGCATAGTGCTCCAAACCTGTAGGTCAGCCCCGAGGACAACCTGGGGTGCACACCCCCTCCCAGAAATCTGGGGCTGCCCACACACCACAGGGGATGGGGCTGGAGCAGGGCTGGTGATTGTCCCCTCCAGAGAAACCCTCCATCCCCAAGGGAGGAGCAGCAAAGCATGGCCAAAGGGACAGGGATTTATGTCCTGTTTAGCACAAGGTGCTGGGAGCTTGGAAGACCAGAGACCTCTAAAAAGCCCTGGTAATGGGATGCTTTACAACCAACAGAACCAGCCGCCGGCCTGGTTGAGAGCAGCTGCTTTAATGAACACGCTGAGGAGCCCTTCAGCATCAGCTCTGGGCTTTTACAGCTCCGCAGCTCTCCTCTTGTGCTCAGGGAGGATTTGAGCAACCTCTCTCCTCTATTTCTGCCAGACCCCAGGGGCCACCGAGCCCCAGCTGCAGCACACAGCATCCTGGGGCACCTCGGTCACATCCCACGTGTGGGTGGCAGCGATCCGTCACCCACCCCCAGCCCCACCAGAAGCCACTCTGGGCATCTCCCCACCCCACTGTCCCTCAGCCTGGTGACACCTCCTCCTCCTCCTGATTTGGGGGCAGGCAGGCAGATGAAGGATGCAGGGCCGCCCCCAGATCACAGATGGGCCGTGGGTACGTTTGGCACTGGTACAGCACAGGTTGGTGGCATTCAAACAGCTCAAGGGTAGTGACAGTGCTCAGGTCTTGGTCACCCCTGTTCACAGCCTGACGGCTCTGCCATCACCGCCAGCACCACGCCGTCACCTCCCCACCTGCACCGCACCACATCCACCCCTGGGTGTGTGACCACATCTCAGTGGGCCAAGCAGGTCTGTCCCCAGCCTTTTGCTGTCTGGCCTGCACCCGGGGCCGTGGGGCAACCTGGCCACCAGCTCGCTGGTTGGCACCGTCCTACCTTGGCAGGTGAAGCAGCGGATGTGGAAGTGATTGCTCTGGACGCGCACCACCTCTCCCTTGCAGGTGTCCCCGCAGCGGTAGCACTGGATGACGGTGGAGCTGCTCGCAGGGGTGTAGGGGTTTTGCTGATAGGGAACTGCTGGCAGAAAGGCGGGAGGGAAAAGCGAGAGAAGGGAAGGGTCTGTTAGCATTCAGGACACAGCCGGGCATCGCGGCACTGACCCCAGCTGGGCAGCTGCAGAAGAGCCCTCCAGTGACTGTGACACAGCAGCTGGACATCAAGCCATGGTTATGGGCAAAGACAACCAAGATCACGCTGGTGGCCAGTGACTCTGAGCTGGGTGCACATCCCCATCTGGATTTGGGATCTCCCTGTCCCCACAAGAGCCAGTACCCGTGTTTGGCTCACAGGTCCGCAGTCCTAAGTGCAGTGCAGGTGCCCAGGCACTGCTCCCTGTGCCCGCAGGGACAATCAGGTCACCTGCACCATCGCCCCAAAGCCATGCGGAGCTCCCCAGATGCTCTCCTATCTCCTAAGCAGGTGCAGGAGAACAAAGGGACCAGCTACCCACTGGTCTGATCCGCTCAGCCCTCGGGCAGTCCTGCCTTGCTGCTGACCTGCTCAGAAACACACCAGCGAGCACTGATCTGGCAGCAGCATGGGAAGGAACTGTTGTTTTTTTGGAGCTTCCACTTGTTTGGTTAGGAACTGGATGAAGAAGTCATTTTTCAAGGAGCTTTCAAACATGACAGCAATTGAGCGTTTGGCACTGGCGGGACTCTCACCTCCTCGGTGAGGAGCAGCATCCCAGCCCCATTGCTCCTTCCGGAGCGGCACGGCGGCGCGTGCAGGCTCTGCGCCGAGCCGGGGGACGCAGGGGAGAGCGACATGGCTCCCCCAGAGCTATGGGCAAAAGCCGACCTTCTCCTGCTGCAGATGGTCCTGGGACTCATCTCCACTCCTCATGCCCCTCCAGCAGCTCTGCAGGTCACCACGAAGGGCTGCAGCCTCCCCCCATGGGGAGGAACCGTACGGAGCAAGAGGTCTTTCTGCTGTCTCAGCACAATCCCCAAACACACACAGAAAACGTTTTTTTGAAGAGCAGCTCCTGCTATCCCTGCCCCACCTGCCAGTGCACGGGCTGCTCGCAGGAGCTCCAGGTTGGCCAACACCATGCTAACCACTGCAGGAAGCGGCCAAGTGACAAAGGACTGGTTTGCTCTAAGATTTCAGAGAGGGAGTTGCAAATTTGGGCAACTCGAGCAGCAAAAGGCAGGATTTCAATGGACCAGAGACTTCCTGACCCAGTGCTGAACTGCATTCCCAGGAACAAGAGAAGCACCTGGGTGAAATCTGGTATGAGAACTCCCTCTGGAGCAGGGAGGAACAGGCACAGGACAGAGGAGATCACTCATCAGAGAGGCTCCTCATTCACCGCGGGGCAGATCATGTGGTGGGGAACAGAAACGGCCCATTATTGGCTTCAAAAGCAAAGACAGAGAAGTCAAAATGACATTGAGACTGTCTCACAGTAAAATCCCATCCCACACGCCGAGTGCCCAGAGGACACGCTCTATGGACGTGCAGCACTGCTCACCACTGGGCAAACGGGCTGACCCTCCCAGACCACTGCTCCATCCCCTGGGGCTATGGAGCTGCTGGGGACCAGCTGCCTTGCCAAGTCTGACCTGAGGGCTGCAAGGAAAGCCGAGGTGTTCTCCTGTGAGCGTCCCCCAGCAAAGCTCAGGCTCCAGCCTTGATGTGACCTTCCAAGAGCTGCTGGGACTTCCCTCCTGATCGTGTTCTTGCAGGCCAAGAGCTCTCAGAGGCCAACAGAGGTCCCTGAGGTACTAAAGGGTACTGCAGTGCCAACAGAGGAGCTATAAAATAGGAGTCAGGTGTGGTGCTCAGACCAGCGGAGACACTAACTAGTCTAGATCTAGCCACTTGGAGGTCCAAAATATGATGGACGCCTGCCAAGG